GGACATCATGCTTGGGAGGGTGGAGGGACAGCGCAGGAGGGGAAGGCCCTCTATGAGGTGGATTGAATCAGTGACTGGGATAATCGGGATGGGAGTGTCAGAGACAGTGTGATTGGCACAGGACAGAGCAGAGTTTAGGGTTGTTGTACATAGGGTCGCTATGAGTCGCAAGCAAGTCGATGGCACATAACAACAACATGTACCCTCAGGAGCCCTGCTGGCCTAGTGGCAAGAAGTTGCGGTGCAATCCCGAAGGTAAGCAGTTACAGTCTCTAGCTGCTCTGTGACAGAAAGGTTGGGCAATCTCCTCCTGCGCAAAGTAACTGTCTCTGAAAACTCATCAGAGAGTCGGCTATGGATTGGTTCCAACTTGATGGTACACAACAATGACAACATGTACCATCAAGTCTGAACCAATTCACAGATGGCTCTCCTCCAGTAAAAGAATTTAAGTTACACTGGAGGAGACTTCTTCTCTTCCTCCTGGTGGAGTAGCTGGTAAATCAGTGATTGCCTAGGCTAGAGGTGAAGGGGGGGGAAATTATTGGAAATTTTCTGTATCTAGATTGAAGAGGTTATTTGTTGAGTTTGTACATCTTTTAAAAGCCTCAACCATTGAACTTTCATATGTAAATGATAGTTCAATAAAGCTGATTTTAAATGTTTTACATGTGAATATAGAAACAAATGTCATTCATTGCTTTCAAGAAGTTCATAATCACCTTCCACCTCACTGTCATACTTCTTTCACAGTTAAGGTCTGATGGATTCACACAGATCTCATCTGCCTTCATTTTGCCCTATTGGTGAGCATTTTGTTCTATTTGTGAACTATTGTCTCCTATTGCTTTTCAAGTTGGAATAGTAAAATTTTAACTGTGGCAGACAGAATTTACACTGTACTCCCCTTTTCTCTAAACCCCTGGTTAATAAACATCAAACTGTTCCTGAGGAACCAACCTGCTAATTAAACCAAAGCTTGAGGAACAAAGAGCATTCAGTTCAAGTGAAAAGTTATAAAAAGTTGAAACATCTCTTATAAACTAACCAGTTACTCTTTCCCCATTGATGAGGTTACGGATACTACTCTTATAGCATCCAAATGGATTAAACAGGTTTTTTAAATGAGATATTTTAAGTTGTCATAAATCAGTTAATATACAGTTTCACACACTGTTGATTGCTCCCCAAAATTAAATTTAATATAAACAACATATTTCATTCTATCATATTCTAACAATTTATTTTTTTAATTACTTTTAAGGTAGAATATGTAAAGTCAACTTACCGAAGGAATGCTTTAATGTTTTCTGCTTGCATTTCAGATATCAATTCCCACCTTATACTTTGATGATAACGCAGTAAAGTGACAGTTTCTTGGAGAGGCTTATTAATAAACCAGCCTCCGGTGGGGGAGAGAAATAACACAAATTAAATAAAGAGCTTTTGACTTTTGTAAAAATCAGAAACTAAAGTAATGCCCTAAACCTAAGAAACTGACCATGGCAAATTTTAAAAACAAAAATACTTATGTTAAGTCCAAGGTGGAAAAATGTAAATTCTGATGGCAAGGCATTTTGGGGTTGGATGACACAAGTATACTTAAGTTACACTGTCTAATTATTTTTACAAATTGGGCATCAAGGCATAATCTCCTTCCTCCATTCTTGTTTTCTCCTGAGTAACATTGTGCCCAACACACAGACAGCATTAATTTTCATAAACGACAAGGAAAGAACAGTCTTTGGAATGCTATTCATATTGGCTGAAAGTTTTGACTCATTATTGCTTAGAAAGGAAACTAGCTTTTTCAGTCCAGCAGATGAGAATCATAAACTATTTCCAAAAGCCCCAAATAGTAATAGTCTGCATTCAATGAGGAATGAGTACATTTGAATTTCAGTCACACTCTGATTATTGTTCTATTTGGTTTCTCAATTTACTGAAGTTCCCAGAGTTCCACATAAGGCGCTCAGCTGGCCTGGGGCAAGCCCAGCGCTCAGCTCAACTCCTTCTAGCTCCTAGACTGGCTTGTAGGAGAAACTTTTCTGCAGAGAAAAGCCTAAGTAAGCCCCAGGGCAGAAACTGACTGGGAGAGGAGGAGGGGAGGAGAGAGTTTTGAACACTTACCTGCCATAAATCCCACCAAGAAAGAGGCCAGCGCTGCGGCCAAGCATACCCAGAGGTACAGAGGACCCCTAGACTTGGCCATGGTCTCTTGGGGATTGTGTTTGGGGCACAAGCTGGCGTAGCAAGCCTAGAGACTGCAAGGGAACAAACAACGCAGAGGACTCAAGGATTCCTCTCTGCAGCAACGCGAGCCACCCTTCTAGGCCTGCTTACACAGCCCCGCCTCCGCCGTCATTATCTGCCCAGGGAGCCAAGAAAAACTCCCTCCTCCTTCAGGCCCCTTGAGGGAAGAGAAGCCCAGCAAAGGGGGGTGCATCATCTGCTTGCTTGTAGGTAACTTCCATCCTACTGATCCTTCCTTAACCCTCGCCAAGGCACAGGTTTTTGCTGCTAGAGCTGCAGAGAATGTCCCTAATTGTTTCCTGAACAGCTTCCTTCTCCTGCTTTCACCCCCTCCTACTCCAGGAACTGCCACGTTTTAGACACAAGTGCGGGTTAATGCTTTCTTCTCTTTAATTGCTGCCAAAATTCTCGTTTCTTGTTTCAAATTCGGTAAGGCGATTCGGCTTTAGCTATTCTAGAGGGAGCTCTACTGTGCTACTAAAGCCCAACCCACATCCGGTCTCTCATGCTCTTCGAATCCACCCGTTCTTCTGTTCGAGAAAGATGGGCAGTTTCCTGTGAGATTCACAGGCTTGGAAACCCGTGAAAGGTCAATTATGAGTCATTTCCAAGACCAAGGTAGTGGTAAGTGAACCTTGAAAGTGTCCTGAGTTTCAACAAATGCCATTTTCTCTGACTTTACCCCCACCCTGTAACACAGTATTTTTCTTTAAAATATTTTTATAATATTCCAGCCATTATGCAAGAAACTAGGAGGCAGACCATTAAAGGAACTATTAGATATATTCAGTAAAACCATGATTTTAAACCTCCAAGCAGGGAACAAATGCATGGATGCCACCGTCCAGCCTAACATCTGACCCACTTGTGGCTTGTCAGTCTCTACAGTTGTGTGAACCATTTCTTCCTACCCCAGCCTCATCTCTTTCTCCCTCTCCTGACATTAACGTAAATGCATTTAACCATGTAACAAAAACATGAATAGAGAAACTAATCCCTGTGCAGCTAAAAATCCAAATATAAATTTTTATTTCCCGAAACTCAGCACTTTTTAATAAGAATATTCTGTCTGGTAAGATCTGTATGTGAGTCTGCATCTACTCCAGACCGGTGGGTAGACATCCAAAGATATTTTTGTGTGCTAAATATTATTTAAGCCCGAGCAAGATATTGGCATTTTAATAACCTGTTTCAACTTTGACAGTTGAATGATGAGTTTCTACATTACACACAATATCTAAATGTTATTTATGTCTAAATACAAACAGATGTGTTTATATCCATATGTCTTGATTTCTCCTATCACCTCACGGAACCATTTCATATTGTTTACACATCTCTCAGAAGGTACATCAAAGTTATCTCTAGAATAATGTATAGATAAAATAGAAACAAATAATTAAAGTGACTGCAACATTTGTTATCTCACCCTTAATTTCACTTTTACACTAATTTAACTTTGACTGAAGTAGGAAGTTATTGTAGTATTCTTTAGAAAACTTTCCAGTTTTAAATTTAAAATGAGATTATTCATTTTAGCAACATTTATTAAAAGTCCACAGACATTGAATAAAAGTCTGATAGCATAGCCTTTATCTTTATAAAGCTAGGAATACAAGGGGAAGATGAATATTGAATAAGTAAATATAAAGAGTACTAAGAAGGAGGAGAATTACCTCATGTGTGGACATTGTCACTACCTCAATAGATGACATCTGCAATCTGTATTTTAACAATCCGTCATTAAAAAAATCTGATTGGGGAAAAAAATATCTGATTGGGGGGAGCTCTGGTGGCCTAGTGGCAAGAACCTACACTGCAATCCCAGAGGTGCACGGTTCGAATCCACCAGATGCTCTGCTGGAGAAAGAGGGGCAATCTCCTCCTGTACCTGTCAGATCTGATTTGACGGTACACACACAAAAATTAATAAAAAATTAAAATAAAAAATTACCTTATTAAAAAAAATCTGATTGGCTGGTTCAGCAATTTCCTTCCCTTTTGTTATATTGATATAGCAAACAAAATTCCATCTTAATTGAGCTTGTATTAGGAGCTTTTCTAAAAAAAGTTACTAATTAGCAGCAATTTGTTCTATTAAAAGTTATCACCTGGATATTTGCATTTAGCAGCAATTTGTTCTATTAAAAGTTATCACCTGGATATTTGCATTTTGCAGGAGTGGCATCCACTTCCTAAGCAACTTTCCTTGGGAAACTCTATGAACTTTGATAAATGTCAATAGTTGTAGGGGGGATTCAGGCCTTTTGCTATGAGTCATGCTTGACTGGAAGACAATCAACAACAACAAGAAAACACACATTATGAAGCCTTGTTGACGTAAGGCACAACCCCTTTCAATGTTTCTTCATAATCAAATGTATATAAGAAATTTTATTATTAAACAGTCAATCTCTCAGTAAAACTATTTAACTCATTTGATTATCTGATTATTCAGTGAGCTTCTTAAATGCAAAGACCATCATCTCCATTCATTACTTTTAATTGATCTTACATAATCACTTGACTCAAGATAGAGCAGGCTTCAGAACTATTGTACACAGGGTCACTATGAGTCACAGGTGACTCAGCAGTACATAACAACACAACCACAACATAACTAACTTATTCTCAGATGCTAGAATAGGCAACTTTGGAGTTCCTACATTCCTAGACTCATTATTAAAAGGATCAAGCTGAAGTTAGAAAACCAAGTGTGACATATGTAGTCATAAAATAATTATGTGTGAGTTCTTCTCTGATTAACTTTCTAATCATTATGATTTCAGAAAGAAGGAGTGATATTTAGCCTGATGATACAATGGTCAGCTATTTGGTGCAACCTCACCAGGTATTGTGTCTCAAATTTAGTATTTTGTTTGAAAATGTTTCCTTATTCTTCTCTTGAAAGATATCATTAAACAGATAAAGACATTATACTATTAATGATGTTGTAAGAGGGCATTCATTGCTAAAGAAATTATCATCAGATCATATTATTATATGGTCATCCAGACAATAGTGTTCATATGTTAAAAAGTAAATGATTAATATCACATTGATTGTGTTTTATGACAGGAAACATTCCAGTTGAGTATTTCCAAATTCTGTTTCAAAATATCTGTCAAAAAATTATTTCAAACTTAAAAAAAGAGAAGAGAATGTTTGTAAGTTAAAAAATATGCCAAAATTTATCAAGTAGAGGAGAAAAAAAGTAAGTGAATATAATGATAAAAAGATGATTGTTCTCGTTAAAGTGTGGTTGTAATTATTCCTACTGACGGTGACATCATAGGTTATTAAGAGCTCCACTCATAGGCAGCTCTAGTAACCTATTGATAAGAAGCTGCACTGCAATCCCAAAGGCGTGTGATTTGAATCCACCAGCTGCTCCACAGGAGAAAGTTGAGCAATCTTGAAGTCATGTGGTTCAAATCCATCAGCTGCTCCACTGGAAATGGATGGGTAATTTCCCCTGAAATTAACTGTCTCTGAAAGCCCATTGGAAGATCAGTTGTGAGTCAATTCTGACTCAAAGGAATACAACAACAACAATAACATAGTGACCTCATGTGACAGAATAGAATTACAACAAAGAGTTTTCTGTACTCATTGTGAAAGCAGTCTTTTCCCCACAAAGCTTCTGGTTGGCTTTAATCTAACCACCATTTGGTTAGCACCTTAACCATTGCAATATTGGGACTTCTTGATAAAAGGCTAAAAAAAAGTGGGAAGATACTTTAAAAGTAGAGCAAATAATCATGATTGGATAATTTCCTTCTGATGTCATATTACTCTACTTAACAGTAAATGCAATTAGAAAAGACTCACCAAGTTCAAGTGTACAGCAGAAAAAGGACTCGTAGACTGCCATCAACATACAATGTGCCCACTAGAATTCTTGTTGGAATCTTAGTACTGGTAAATTATATACTTGATTTTTAGCCTAGAATTTTTCAACTCAACATCTTTCATCCTTAACATGTACCAGTTTTCCATGGTAGGGAGCTCTGGTGGCCTAGTGGTAAGAAACTGCTTAATCTTGAAGACACACGGTTCAAATCCACTAGCTATCTGCGAGAAAAAGTTGGACAATCTCCTCCTGTGCAAATAAATTGCCTCTTAAAACCCACTGGAGGATCAGTCAGCTATGGTTGGTTCTGACTTAATGGTACACAACAAAAACAAAAATTGATCATGGTAGCTTTCATCTAACAGTACCAGAACTCATGGGTCCCTCATGCATGTTCTGCCCATATTACGTGTTAGCTTCTCACTCTTTGATCCTTAGGCCCTGTGTTTCTTCGGTGTATCTTTTATTTGTGAGCCAACCTCTTATATTCTTGGTACTTCCTTTTCTCAAATGTTCTGTTTCCACTCCATCTTACCTGGCACTTATTTTCCCTTAAAATGCTGCTTTCTTTGAAAAGCAGTCACATGCACCTTTTTTTTTTTCTTTCTTCGTTTTCCCCTTTCCCTTGATTTATGGGACCAGGCAAGAAGGACAGAATTTGCTTCTTCACCATTATTCCACTGTCTTGTTGTCAAATGCTGTTGACTCTGACTCATAATAACCCTTTGTCCAATAGATCTTATCTGATTCTGCACCAACCTTACAAGCTGTGCTATGCTTAAGTCAATTATTGTAGCTACTGCCAATCCATCTCGTTGAGGGTCTTTCTTTCTTTAACTGACTCTTCACTATTCCAAGTATAATGCCCTTTTCCAAGGACTAACCCCTCTTTTCAATGTGACCAAAGTATTTGAGATAAAATTTCACCATCTTTGCATCTAAGGATCACTCTATCTTTATTTCTTTTTTTAAAAATTTTATTTTATTATTGTGTGTGTGTGTGTGTGTGTGTGTGTGTGTACCATCAAATCAGATCTGA